GCCCTACCGTGGTCGCCTCGCGGCGCGCTAGCCGTATCCCATGAATATCGTACGTGAGGTCGGGCTCTGGCTGGAGCATCGCCTGCTCCCTACTATTCGTGCACCCTCGCGGGCGTCAACGTGAGGCCGTCGCGGAATTGAGTTTACTCATGCTGACTACTCTGATCATCCATCCAACTAGTATGCACCCAGTATGCTTTCACTACGGCGGAGTGGTCTGAGCCTTGCCACGGACCACATGAGGATAAACCGCTGCCTTTTGGCCTCGCAAGAAGGGCAAGATTTCTCGATGAGCCGTGAACATATTGACCGCCCTCCGGGGATTGAACAAAGCAGGTCCAATTGATCGTCAACTTATGGGACTGAAATAGATCGCCGGGAGCGCGTTTGAACGCACTCGACCAAGATCCGCGGTCATTTTGACAGGAACGTTAGTTTTGGGTGTTGTTGTGCTAGCTATAGACTTGGATTCGTCATGAGCGCAGGGACATACCAGGCTTCAGAGTCCCGTCAGCAGGGGTTCGAGAGTTCTTACGGTTCTATACCTGAATCATCGACGGGCATTGCGGGGCGGTGCTGCTCGCGCAGGACGAGCAGAGAGGGACAGATGAAGTATCTGCGGAAGTTGCAAGTCTTCGACCGCCGCACATCCTTCGCCGTTTCGATGTATCAGACGCCCAATCATAACACGATCGTTTAAAGTGCGACATGTGGCGCGAACATTGCGTTCAAGCGGGGTAAGCGAAAGACAACAATGGATCCGCGCGTAATGGTATTGATTGTCGACAGTCGTACAGTACGCAGTACGCACTAGGATGAGTCCGCGAAAGAATGGGCTCGAGCACATTATGGCACAGGCAGATGGTATAGGCAGCGGGGTGAGTGTTACGAGACAAGCGAGAAAGGTAATGCTAGCAGACGGACGAGACCCTACACAGAAGTAGCACAACCGCGAACGAGGGACCAGAGGAAACGGAAAGCGAGGGTTACGCCATCACAGGGGGGGGTGGACAGGAGAGACCTCTGATTGTCCGTCGCCCGGGCGTACATGGCCTACTCGGGTCCGTAAAACGCCGCTGGCTGGCCCGGGGGCGGCGGAGGGGGGTGGTCCGTGTACGAAGGATGCGAAGCCGCCGGGTCCTCGTAGTGATGGCGGTGGACCTGCTGCTGAGCCCGGTGATGGGTCAGGGCCTCGGCGTGCGTGCGAGTTGCCTGGGCGACCTGCTGGGCCCGCTGAAGCTGGCGAAGTTGAGCCTGCTGCTGGCGGACGATCTCCTGAGGATAGGAATGGTGATGAAGCGGCGGCGGAGGCTGGTGATGAGCCAGGATCACCGAGTGCGAGCTGAGTTGTTCCCTGGATGAGGACTGCTGCTGTGCCCGGGCGTGATGCTGAGCTTGTCGGGTATCCTGTGGCCGAAAATAGAAAGACTCGATGGGGATCTGAGCCGGCGTCTGTATTGCAGAGGTCCATGACGGAGAGTCTGCGAGACTGGGGTCTGCTCTCGCCGCCTGCGCCGTCGCCGCCGCCAGCTGTGCCGAGTCTGGCTGAAGGAAGTCGCCTGGCTGGGTACTCGTCGTCCGAGTCGTCTCCGGGGGAGAGGGCGCGCTTGCGTGAGACTGGCGGCTCGTGGAGCGCTGGAGGGTGGAATGAGAAGGGAGAGTCGTACTCTCTAGCTGGGGAATCGAACTGTGGGATTGAGGGAAGTAAGGAGTCGTATTCCAGTGGACGAGCGATTGATCTTGTGCGTGGTCTGTGTGGATCAGGGGGAGGGATGGCGGGGAAGTACGCTGCCGGGGCACTTGTTGGACGTCGAGCTGGCTGTTGTACGGGAATCCATTCGGGTTGCGGGAGAGGGGAGACGACCGCTGGGAGGGGCGGTAGTCGCGGACCGACGGCTCTCGGCTCGGTGGGCTGCCGGTCGAGTCGACGGGCGAGAAGGAGCTCGGTTGTGTCCTGGGCAGCGTGAGCGACGTCGGCAAGGGTGCGGCTGGGGAAATAGAGCGCGACCTGCCTGTTCGGGCGGTCCATGTCCGCCTGCGGTGGCCCCTGCTGCCACTGCGAGAAGCCCTCGTACCCCATTGCGGCCGTTTCCGGACGGTACAATCGCGGCAATGGCTCTTCCTCTTGCTTCACCCGCGGGTTGCCGCCGTTGACAGCCGCGGCGGCGGCGGCGGCGGCGGGCTTCCCGCTGGCGGCGGCCATCGAGGCGTGCAGGCTTGTCAAGTCGCGCATCATGCGCTCGTTCTGCTCGGCCTTGTCCGCGTGGACCGTCTGCGCGTGCTGGCGCAGGTTGTCGAGCCGCGAGAACTGTTTGTCGCAATGACAAGTGAACGGCCGCTCCCCAGTGTGTTTGCTAACCCGCCGTCAACAGCCTACGCACAACAAAAAGGAAACGAAAATACAAACCGAATGTGCCTGATGAGGTGCTCGGAACGGCTGAAAACCATCCTGCAGTCGCCGTGGCCCCTGCATTGGAACGTCTTGGCCTTGGGCATGACGGGATCCAGGGGGAAGGAGGCCATCAACCGGCACACAGCAGTCCACACCCGATCGGGTACAAGGCGCTCAAATAGATCGCTTGCCGATTGGTCACTCCGGCTTGTAATCAAACACCCAGTCCGCAGATTGAACAAGGCAGGTCCGATTGATCGTCAACTGAGCGAACCGCGATTAAACGCCGGCAGCGCCCGATTGAACGCATAATGCCTGATTGATTATACCGGATTGAACACTCCGACTTGCGATTGAACACTCTCCGCGGATTGAACAAAGCAGGTTCGATTAAACGCCCGCAGCGCCCGATTGAGTATACGCCAATCAAGCTTGCGGATTAAGCACTCTCGTTTGTGATTGAACGCCATCCGCGGATTGAATAAGGCAGGTCCGATTGATCGTCATTGAGCGGACCGCGATTGAACGCCGGCAGCGCCCGATTGAACGCATAGCGCCCGATTGAGTATACGGAAAACAAGCTTGCGGATTGAACACTCCGACTTGTGATTGAACACTCTCCGCGGATTGAACAAAGCAGGTTCGATTAAACGCCCGCAGC